CACCTTTGTGTAACTCTTTAGTTATTCCGTGCGGGAATCCAACCCGCGACACATTACGCGGCAGTCAGTTGCCCAGCCACCGTGCCAACCGTGCATTTTACACAAAATACGGGATATCGAGGAAGTTCAACCATTATCAAGCCAGCACCGGGGCTTATACTTACGCGAGTTATGCGCGTACATACTTTCCTAATGTATTTTATGTTCATTTAAGTACGTTATGGTATACTTCAATGTTTAAATTTCTTGTGTTGAATTATTATTTTATCGATTATTTAAATCGAGTCAAGTAATCAACAAGTAGACAATAATAGAAATGAAAAAACATCCCTAAATCTTTCCTTTAACCCAGTTTAACGTTTTTGTTTGTGAAATATTTTTTTGTATACTCCAGGACTGTATTAAATTTAAATTAAATTTATTTTAGTTGCGAAAAAAATATCAGTAGCTTCAAAAGTTTTAAATTTTTCATACACACGTCTGAACTTAGTTTTATTCCAAAATGTTCCTTTTTTAATTTTTCCAACAATCTGCTACACGTCATAGACATTATACATTATGCTGTGAAAATACGGGTTACCACTTAGTCGTAGAGTAGAAGATAGGTAATGACTTCCCAAATCCCTGAAAATACTATATCGGTTCATGCGCCAAACACACTGTATCATCAGATTGGGACAAATCTCTTTACTGTGTGTACTGTGTAACTGTGTTCGATATATTACGGACATATTAAAGTATGTATATAACAAGTTTGTTTAAATAGCCCCTGAGCAAATCCAGGGCAAGTATATTATATTAATTAATAAATAATTCATAAATATATTTTTATACAAATGTCGTAAAATGTTTTTTCGTGATACTCATGCCTTCTATTCTTCACACACTACGTATCTTATACACGTAATATATATTTTGTAACAGCTAAAATATTTTTTTTTTAACTTTAGAACTAAACAAGTTGACCTTATTCTTCCAAGAAAGTATAAGATTTTTTCATAGTCTACTGATAAATTCCTCAAATTATATCATATTTCGCTTATTCCATCGACGTGCTCCATCGTAGGCCACATTATACGCTCACCACCAGGCGAGATAGCGGTCAAACATCAGTCCCATATTATAAGAAAAGAAAATTGGAGGGTTTGTACAAAAAACGCTTGTATTTAAAAAAAAACAATAAATATAATAAATCTATGGTACAAATCGTATTCTCTTCATGTGACTTGGAATTGATACTCTAAACTGTTTCAACACTGTACCTATTATGGCAGTTTGAAATTTAGACAGAATTATGCATAGAAAATTTTGAATATCGGTCTCATGCAAAAAATCTGTAGAGATAAACTGCCTTTTATCTCAGCTATGGTGAATGTTAAAGCATCAATATAAAGTGCTATGAAAAGATCAAAGTTGTAAATTTTTAATTCATCATCATGATCATCATTAACAGCCCACTTAAGTAAAGCCTCTTTTCACACGGAGAAGATTTGAGCATTAATCACCACGCTTGCTCAATGCAGGCCAGCGATTTATAAGTCCAGGTTTCCTCACGATGTTTTCCTTCACCGTTTGTCAGTGGTGTCTGGATAATCTTAGAAAGTCGGTATATATTACTCAGAGAAGTCACATTGATACTTGCCGTCGGTAGGTTTCGAACCTGCACCCTCATACATGAGAGGTGGACGTCTTAAACCTCCGGGCCACAACGACTTTTTAATTACATAACATAACATCATAACATCACCCCTTTTATCCCCGAAGAAGTAGACAGAGGTGCACATTAAGTAACTTAATGCCACTGTACAATATAAGATATACTTTTCACTATTTATGTTATGAGTCCCATATAATAGGGCGTTAGCCTATTGCTATATACCGGGCACATTTCCATACTCCGTGCTACTACTGAGGTTTTTACAAACCTAGTAATACTTTGCTCGATCCTGGAATCGGACCAGAGACCCCTTTCCCGGCAGTTGAACTTGCGACCACTCGGCCAATGATGCAGTTTTAAATTAATTTATAAAAATATAGTAAATGGGAAAGTTGATTTTACTTAAAGCAATAAAATTAGTTAAAATAATCAAATTACATAACTTTAACAAAGTTACTTAAAATAATCAAATTACTTAACTTTAACAGATAAAATATAGACGTGGTTGACAAACACAGTCTTCAAAGAGTGTACTCACTGAATGTGCATGAAAAAAGCATTGTATTAACTGTAACATGAAAAATTAAATTTTGAAGACCTGTGAATCACTGTATAGTATAAAACGAAGTCAGTTTCCGCCGTCAGTGTGTCTGGCTGTATGTCAAGACCTTTAAAATTACGCAACAAATTTTGATGAGGCTTTTTTTAATAGAATGAGTGATTCAAGAGGAACATTTATTTGTACAATAACTCTGAATTTAACGAGTTCAGAGCCGCGGGCAGAAGCTTGTACATTATAGGTAAATAACATAACATAACGCCCTTTTTCTCCGAAGTGGTAGGCAGAGGTGCACGTTATGGCACATAATGCCACTGTAATAACACCAAATTTTCACTATTTATGTTATGAGTCCCATGTAATAGGGGTGAGTCTATTAACATATACCGGGCACAATACCAGACTCCATGTTACTACTGATATTTAAAAAAATCAGTAATACTTTCCTGGACCCGAGAATCGAACCCGAGCCCCGTGTCCGTGTGTCGCACTTGCGACCACTCGGCCAACTAGTAGGTAAATAAAAGGTTATTATTAGTCCCTGTGCTATTATTCAATTCTCCTTAAACATTAAGAAGTAGTGTGGACTTTGGAAGTATTAATCGGTAGTAATATCATCAAAAAATAATACAACACTTATTTATTCATACATTCTATATTTATCATATCAAATTATGGTCCTGTTTTATCATATCAGATACTTTTTCTCCAATCATAATAACTGCAGCCATTGGATTCCCTCTTGTTATTGTTGGCATCACACTAGCATCAGCTATACGGAGACCTTTCACACCATGAACTCTTAATCTACTATCAACAACTGCGCCCATGGGACATGTACTAGTCATGTGACTCATTCCAGATGACATACACATAATATAACAACGCCAGTATTCTCTAGTTTCTTTTCCATACTTATTACACTTAGGAGCTGCATCTGCCATCACTGCGTCAACTTTATTATAATATGTCGTATTCATCACGCGTAAAAAGTCCAAAATATAATCAATGTGATTTTCAATGTCGTCTTTATTTGAATATAATCCAACATCTATAATAGGTGCGTCTTCAGGGTCTGTACTTTTTAAGAGCACTTTCCCTCGTGACTTTGGGTTGATATGAATTATTTCATTCATGGCTTGACTTTTATTAACACTATTCTTATAAATATTATTGCAGACTTCTTCGCTAAATCTGAACGCAAATGTGCAAAAATATAAAAGTGGTTCTGGCAAAGTTACATACGTCATTTGCTGGTAATCAGGAATTTTAGAAGATTGGTTCAGTGAAATGAAACCGGTGAATGAGAATCCTGTTAGTGCATAAAGATTCGGTGGTGGTAGAGGACCAATATCTATATCGTGGACTATAATGACATTAGCATGTTCCTGTAGGTTCTCACCTACAGGTAAATTTGAAACCACCTCAATATTGTTGAGTTTCAAATGTTCTTCTGGTCCAACACCAGATAACATTAACAGTTTAGGTGTATTCATTACTCCAGCGGATACAATTACTTCTTTTTTAGCCTTCAATGTCATCGTTTTACGATCTTCAGTAAGAACTTCTACACCGACAGCTTTTTTGTTTTCGTCAAACAAAATTTTAGTTACTAATGTATTTTTCAACACGTGAAGGTTACGCCGATTTTTGAGTGGCGATAAATATGCTAGGGCTGAACTATAACGAGATTTACTAGCCATCGTGAACATCTGAGCAGAAAATCCTACAACATTATTTTCATTGAAGTCATGAAATACATCATGTCCAAGTTCTCGGTAGGCATCTAAGAATTCATCTATTCCTTTACGGTGGTCTTTTGTTAATTGGAGTAATCCATCAGTTCCATAGTATTTTTTGCTTTCCGACTGAAGAATTTGTGCATCATTTAGCTTGATGGATTTGATAAAATATGGTAAAACATGTTCCCATTTCCATGTTGCATCATTAGCTATCTCAGCCCATGAATCATAATCACTGGGTTGTCCTCTATGATAAACCATATAATTTAAGGAGCTGGTGCCACCTAACATTTTTCCGAAAGTTATTTTACGAGAAGGTGTATGACGACACGAATCTTGAAATCCATCGAGCTCTTCTGTATAGTTCCAGTCGTAACGAGACCTTTGCATTAAAAGTGGTACGGCAGGAAGCTGGAATGTAAAAATATAAATATAAATATTTGGATACCATTCATCTTAAAAAATGTATAGTGAAGGAAGCAAGTGAACTACTACACACACACAAAATTTAATAACAAAGAAACAAAGGACCTAGCATCATAGATAAAGAAGTACTCACATCTGATTCATAAGGTGGATTGCCGCCGGCTTCAATAAGCAAAACATTGATATGTTCGATTTCTGAAAGTCTGTTGGCAATGACACTTCCTGCTGTTCCACCACCGACCACAATGAAGTCATAACTAACGCCATCTGTAATTACATAAAAGTATTTGTGGTTAATAAATTAAATAGTATGAAACAAGGTCTCGAAAAAATGCTCATAATGCCTTTCATCAATTTTTGTTAAGCACTTGAATTGAGCACAATCCCAAACAAATTGATATTGCAAAAACCCAGTCTTATCTAATGTTTCTTCAATTTCATTCTTATTGTAATAGAACAAAATCTACATAATGATTTTGACACTACATTATTTTCTGCTTTACGACTAGTAAGCGTGGACATATTTTAAAATACTCACCACGAACAACAGCTTGGTGTGGCCACAAGTAGTCGTAGAGATGCAAAAATGCCACTATTCTGAATGCATTTTGCAAATCTTTCATTACTTTAAAAGCAGTAGCAGCATTCATTGTTCCTTATATGAAAATGACACTGATAAATAATAATATTTAATCAAAAATTACGAGTATATTAATTATATTATAGCAAACGTTTGCGACCAAGCGCATATGATTTATAACTAACTGAAAATAATTCAAAAATGATTTCTTAACTTTTATAAAGAGTCAAGTTTACGTAAAAAGAAACAAAAGTACCCTGCTGGTTTTTAGATTTTATTAATTAGGTAATTACTTCCCAAAAAGTTATTTTGCATCATGGTTGTTTTCTAAAATATGTAAAAAATACATATTTTAATAACAATATTTAATTACACCGTGAGAGATCCATGCTTGAGCGGGAATGAACTGGCTGAACTCATTGTCATTAACATGACGGGATTGGACTTCTGTTAAACCCTGCGTCTTCTCTGGTGTTCTTTTTTTTTAAGGGGGGAAAATCATCGAATGACTGCTCCCGCCTGGGTGAGGCGGGAGGGAGTATCAGACTCTTACGGACTAAAAACCACCCCGTTCCTTCTCCTGTCGAGCCGGAGCCCCGGTTACCCGTTAGGTTCTCCGCGACTGTCTTCTCTGGTGTAGCAGGTATTCTTGGATAAATCCGATTGTTTGCCATCCGGTGATAAGTTGCATTAACTCGTTGAGCACCGTCATTATAGACACAATTAAAGAACAATAGGTTGCTATCACCGGTGACCGCTCGGTGTTTGACAGTTTAAATGAAACAGCCTACCAGTTTCTAATATGTCAATATTCATACTAAGCCTATTAATTGATTTTTCAATTCTCTTAGTAGACAACCACTATTACTACACTATCATCGATATCTTTCAAGAATAGAGGAATTCAGTATCCATTTTAGTGATGTAAAAATATCTTCATAAAATAAAACAATGTTTGCTAATTAAAATTATATATTTTAATTTATAATATATTATGATCCTGTTTTATCATATCGGATACTTTTTCCCCGATCATTATAACTGCAGCCATTGGATTCCCTCTTGTAATTGTTGGCATCACACTAGCATCAGCTATACGCAGACCTTTTACACCATGAACTTTTAATCTACTATCAACAACAGTGCCCATGGGACATGTACTAGTTATCTGACTCGTTCCAGACGACATACACATAATATAACAACGCCAGTATTCTCTACTTTCTTTTCTATACTTATTACACTTAGGAGCTGCATCTGCCATCACTGCGTCAATTTCGCTGTAATAGATTGTTTTCATGACACGTAAAAAATTCAAAATGTAATCAATGTGGTTTTCAATGTCATCTTTATTTGAATAAAATCTATTCTTAATAATTGGAGGGTCTTCAGGGTCTGTACTTTTTAACAGCACTTTCCCTCGCGACTTTGGATTAATATTAATTATTTCATTATAAGCTTGAGCTCTATTTACACCTTGTTTGTAAATTTTATTGCAAACTTCATCGCTAAATCTAAATGCAAATGTGCAGTAGTATAAAACTGGTCCTGGTAAAGTTACATAAGTAATTTGCTGGTAATCTGGAATTTTTGAAGATTGATTCAATGAAATAAAACCAGTAAATGAGAATCCTGTTAGTTCATAAGGAGTTGGAGGTGGTAATGGTCCGATATCTACATTATGGACAATAATAACTTCAACATGTTCCTGTAGGTTCTCACCTACAGGTAAATTTGAAACTACCTCAATGTTTTTACATTCTAATTGTTGCTTTGGTCCCACACCAGACAACATAAGGAGTTTTGGTGTATTGATTACTCCAGCAGAAACAATGACTTCTTTTTTAGCTCTCAGTGTCATCGTTTTACGATCTTCAGTAAGGACCTTAACACCGACGGCCTTTTTACTTTCGTCAAACAAAATTTTAGTTACTAATGTATTTTTCAATAAATGAAGGTTACGCCGGTTTTTGACGGGAGATAAGAATGCATAAGCTGAACTTTGGCGAGATCTACCAGCGATTGTGAACATTTGCGATGAAAATCCTAAAAGATTGTTTTCATTGAAGTCAAGAACCACATCATGTCCAAGTTCTCGGTAGGCATCTAGGAATTCATCTATTCCTTTTCGGTGATCTTTAGTTAATTGTAGTAATCCATCAGTTCCATAATATTTTTTGTTTACTGACTGTAGAATTTGTGCGTCATTCAGCTTGATGGATTTGATAAAATATGGTAAAACATTTTCCCATCTCCATGTTGCATCATTAGCTATCTCAGCCCAAGAGTCATAATCACTGGGTTGTCCTCTATGATAAACCATGTAACTCAATGAGCTGCTACCACCCAGCATTTTCCCCAATGTTAATTCATAAGAAGGCGTGCGACGACAGGAGTCTTCAAATTCATCGACTTCTGCCGTATAGTTCCAATCGTAGTAAGATCGTTGCATTATAAGTGGTACGGCAGGTAACTGGAATGTATAAATATAAGATTTTATTTACCTTTCACAAAACACCTACACTGTGCGTAATAAATATATAACATAAAAAAAATTGATTAATTAATACATACATACATAACATCACGCCTTTTATCCCCGAAGGGGTAGGCAGAGGTGCACACAGAAGTAACACCCACTTTTCACTATTTATGTTATG